ATTTTTCCTTAAATAAGGTCACTAAAAGGGATGTTTTTGCAAAATAAAAAAAAATTCGATTTTTTGACGAGTGTCGTGCGATTCTCGATTTTCTCAGATAATGGCTCTTAAGGCCAGAAAATACTTAGAAATTGCGGATGTTCTCCAGTCGTGTACGACATTGTTGGTAGTCCGCTGGATTCCTTACAAGACTTGTATAAAACGCGACTTCAAAAACACTTCCTATTCTGCAAAACGGTGAAAAGGTGGGCAAGATATGTCTTAGAATAACACCTTTACAAACTGCAGATGTATACCTATGTTGAATTAGCCAAGAATACTTTTGCTCAGTTAGAAATCTTCGAAAGTTCTTTTATAAATAATCAGAAATAATCCAATTCTTTTTCAAATGCATTGTATCTTAAGACATTTACTAATCATTTTCATCCGGCCCACACACCTTAAAACTCAAAAATGCTTTTATGTAATATTCGTTTTCACAGGTGCCCTAGAGTAGAGTTAACCACGATCTTGCATTAAGCTATTGTAATTTCCCAAGCGATGTACCTTGCTGTAAGTGTCAACACAAAGAAATATAGCCGTGGAGACATTGTGCTACTGTTAAGAAAGCGAATTGCTACAAAACAACCATAAAATGTCTATATAAGATTTACGTGTTTGAAATCACGCAGAAATTTCAAGAGGACTTTGTTAATAGGGAAGGTATTTTTTCTTATCTTTCAAGAAAACGCGTCGACTGGATAACTTGTTTCAGGTCTGGGGCTAAAAATGTAATTGTCTAATTTTCTCATAAGTGTTATCTAAGTGCATTTCTTTTACCATCTATTCCCTAATGACTTTTTAAAAGGCTTTTGAATTTTTTTTTTCCTTTTTTTTTTTTTTTTTTTTTTGCCGCAGGGCTACAGAACTAAAGGAGCCACCTGAGCTTCAAGAATTAAAACTCGATACGAAAAATAAAAGAAGAAAATTAAATTGAAAATAGCTTCAACTCTTTAACGTTGATTCTATTGTTGCTTTGATAACTCACATTTTGTAGCTTGCAACATCTACTGTACGCATAATTCACCAGAAACCAGAACTTTACCACAAAGTTTAATTTATACGTGGCTTTCAAAGTTCCGTGGAAACTGCTACTAATTGAAATATCTTTTAAAATTACACTTTAACTCTTTTGCCGCTTGCCTTTTATACTTAAAAGAAGACAAAGCAGTAATCTGAATTTAGACATTGGCCAATCTCCTAGATTTATGAAACATTAAATAACAATTTGTGGTGCTGTCTAATTTTGTAGCGAAGTCGAGTCAGTCGCCCACATACTAAAGAGTTAATTGTATTAACTTTAATGAACCAAAATTCCGATTTTTTTAACTATAGAAGAAACCGCCAAAAAGGCATATTGCAACCCTAGACATAGCTATTAAATTAAGGTGTAATTGAACTGGAAGAATTTTCTAGTCTCAGATTGTAAGATTGTTATTAAAAAATCTATTTATAATTAAGGAAAAAATGATTTTGTACGCGAATGTAACACGCTCCGCGTTCTTGACTCTCTGAATGACTGGCTACTTTTGCTTTTTACGTCGTGAGTTCGAAATTACAATTTTGATCGAGTTCAACAAATTAATGCGCACGGAAAAGGCAGGTCGAGTGCAACTTTTAAAAAGCTTTAAATTTGCATGTAATCTTATACAATAGGATAAGCATTGTGTTAAAAAATATTCTTTTTCTCCTTTTATGTTAAACGTGTGAGTTATTGTCTATTCATAATTCACTTGTGTTGTAGACACCTATTTATTTCCGAGCATTCTTTCTCGGTGAAGTCATTTAATTAACACCAGAGAGCTTTTTTTCTGGTTTTCTGTTCAAGCGATGTTTGTTTAACTGCGTGCTAAATAAGTTATCACAACAAAACTTCTTCGGTTATGTATAACCGGGTAATTCAAGGCGGTTTTTTGTTATTTTAGTGCTATCGGATTTAACACCAGTCCTCACGAGGAAGTGAAAAAAACATCCGTTTTCTACGAAAATTAATTACTTATCTTTCACAAGATTACACGAGAAGGCGAGAACAGTTTTTAAATACCATTTTAAAAGCTCATATCACAATGCTGTTTCCGCTGCCGAGGGCAATAAAGTGCTCGAGTAGTTACTTAAGAAGCAAGCTAAATACGTTGCCTAACTTTTTTATCATTTTGAATCGAGTTTCGGTTTTATCACACGTTTACGAAAACCACCACTGCACGCGATGGCCTTCTCCATTGGGCTTCATGCGTGATCTTGGCCGTCAGTGCAGGCAAATGATATCTTTGAAACCTCCGGTTGTTTGGAAAATTTTTTGGCATCAAAAGACGAATAAACATGGATGTTTAATCCAACAATGTAGAAAATAAATTACCCGGCTTATCGTCTATGCATGGTTCCGCATTATCACATGTAATTTTGGTCTCCAAATTTCATTTTTGCAATTTGAACTGTGCCCTTGAAGGTAGAGCGAAATATAATTTGTTAAATAAAAACCCATTTCCTCAAATTTTTCAGAGATTTAAATGGCTTCTTGCTTCTCAAAAAATAATATATATTATTTAGGTACAGTATAATAAAATTAGATTTGAAGAAGTCTAGGCCTACATAGAACAATCACTTTTGGGGGGTCTTCAAAATTAAAACTGCATCAACTCTTAATCTATAATGATTACCCTAAAAAGAATTTAACGGTGCGTTAATTTGAAGGAAACTAGATTTCAATTCCATTTTTTTATCTGAAAATTGCAAAGGGCTGTCTTTCCGTTATCAAATAGGCTTGTTTTGAAAATTTTACCTCGAAAACAATTGTTACTAACAGAAAAAACTGATGGCATATTTTCTCCCGTGGTTCTAGCGTCTATTCAAACAGCATGAAGTTGATCTATCAACTTCCACGTAGTACGCGGGGTCTTAATTTTCTGGCTAATTTTTTAAAGAAGAAGAAAAGAACTTGCCCTCCTCACTTCACGGGGGAAGTTCCTTAAAATAATAAAGAATATTTGCTCTTACCGGATATGTTATCGCAGAAAAGGTTCCGAGGATTTTAAGCCTTAATTTGCCCTTAAAAAACGTCATTGGGGCGTTTTTTTCTTTATGAGTATGGTTCAGATCTGAGTTTTTGATTTTTGTTATATCAGTTTTTCAAAGAATACCATTTTTAGAAAAGCCCCTGCATTTCTTATATGTTTCATGTCCAAGTTTTAAACACAGGTGAACCTTTTTCTCTCTTCTCAAGGTCTTATCCTTTAGGAAAAAAAGTATATTTATCTAATATAATGAGCTTTCATAGTCGGATGCTTCAGTCCTTCTCCTAATACTTTGTTCCAAAAACAACAAGACCGATAAAATCTCGATTAAAATATGATATTACTGTCTTATGAGGAATACTGTTGCGGCAATTTTACACAAAGATATATCGATGAATATCAAAAGCCGACGAAAATTGACTTTGATGCAAAATTATACAAATCGAATTTTCAATGTCTTAGATATAGACCGCATGGTTTGATAAAGATAACGCCTGCAAATTACTGTATTACTTTACGAAAAGGAAACAAGGCGAAATTAGTTCTGTATGAATCTATTAATGTAACTACCCAAAAGTAAAATGCAGCGACTATTTTTCGCCGCGAAAGGGATATTCTCTGAAACAAAATGAACAAACGAAACGAAATTGTTAACTCGTTGAAACAATGCCGAATGGCAGAATTGTGCTGAGCAAAGGCTTAGTCAATCCGCGAATTAGGGACTCAGAGTCTACAATCAAAATGTCAATTCAATGTAAGACTAAATATTTCTAAAACAGAAAATGAATAACTGTTTTTAAGACATCAAAACTTCGTTTCCATTTAAGCCACCTGCAACGAGTTCCAGTCTTGGCTGTTTATTTTGCGTTTATCAGTTGAATGCTTTGTTATTCTTTGAAAGTAAACCAAAAACCTTCCGCCTAAAATAAGAACCAAAATATCAAGCTTAACCAGAGAAAGAAAGATGGTCATGGAATAAGATTACCTTCCCTTCATTTCTTCAAACTTGCTTCAAAGGGCTTCAAAAGTTGTTTACACTGTTTATTTTTCAACGCTTAAGCGCGATAATAAGAGTGCAATTATTTCCCTTATGAAATTAGAAAGCAATTTAAATTCGCTTCAAGGTGCCACTAAAAAAGACGAGGATGAATTATTAATTCACTCCGGACAGGAAGCGAGTTTTAATACAAGGCCAACGTTGAAAAGCTCTTCCTTTTGTGAAAAGCAAATTTGGATGATAAAACAAACTCCACGACATCTAACATCTCGGTGGAGTTTTAATTACTCTTAAAAGGCGAATGAGTTCATTGATTAAAAGATTAAAGGCATATCACGGCGAATTTTAAGGAAATAACCTCGCCGAATGCAGACCTCCTTTAAAGCGAGCACTGTCGAGATCAGCCAATGACCTCTGGGTGCCTTGTTAAATGTGTTCCTGCCTTTTAGATAAGTTTCAATTTGATTAATGAAACTCTACCACACAATGCATCGACTTGCGTGCTCTCGATACATAGCGAAATACTATTTCGATTACTTTTATTTTTTACCTTTTCAAAAGGGGGACTTGCTCTTTTGATCTGATTAAGTTGAAACTTAACAGAAGACAAACTTGTGTTTACAGAGAAGAACCTTCCTTTGTCACTGCCTTAAAGCCTTTTGTTTGCTAGTGTTTACGGATCAAGTTTTTTTTTTAGTTGAAGTTCACCTGCTTTCGATAACGCATACCCTTAAATGATCACCGCTTAAGGTCTTCGGGCTGAGCGCAGGTGCCCCACGCGACAACAATGAAGGACCAATCAATGCCGGACTCTAACAAAAGGTGCTCGCTCCTCATTAGTCCTTCAAAGGGCATGAATCTGAGAAATTGGCCAATCAGAGTTGCCGTTGAAATTCATTTGGCTTTGGGGTCTTTTGGCTGAGTATAAAACAGTATCAAATCGAAATTCCAGGTTGTATAACGATCCGATATTTTACAACACAAGTAACTGGGCTCTGAAGGATACAGGTAACCAACCGAGACGATACGTTCACCGACCTAGCGCCGCATCAGAAATGAGTTTTTCTCAAGGCGGTAGTAGTTTAACAACTAGTAGCTCCACTGTGGCTACAGCGAACAACGCTAGTGGCAAGCAAGCTCAAGCCCAGTCACAGACAGCACAATCCTCAGAGAAGAAACGGACACCAAAATGCGCGCGGTGCCGAAATCATGGTTTTGATTCAATCTTGAAAGGTCATAAGGGCTTTTGCCGGTGGAGGGATTGTCTATGCCCAAAATGTCTCCTCATTGCTGAACGACAGCGAGTTCTAGCAGCCCAAGTTGCGCTTCGCCGTCAACAGATGCAAGAGCAACGCAGTCCATTGCCTCCGGGAGATGTGTTTACTGCTATGACAAGGATGGGTAATGAATCTCAGAACCCATCGCGAAGCCCCTCGCCTGTTTCCACAACCACAGAGGCTACAGGTAGTGTATATATTCAGATTTAGGTATCCACACCTATTGACATTTTGTACTCATTTAGCCGTATATACTAACACTAGTTTTGAGTAAAAAAGCGCATCTCTTAATAGATGAATCACGATCTATATACAAACGGAAAGAAAAATTGTCAACTGTTTACCACCGAAACAAGCTGTGCCGTACTCGAAGGGAAAGAAGATCATAGAGTGAAATTGTTACGCTTAAGGGTGTTAAACGCTAGCGAAAATTTGTAGCAAAAAGTTTCGACTTGAAAAGCACAAAAGCTCTTAATGAGTAAATTTCTAATGACATCGGTTATTCGCACGAAATGAACCCCAATTCATTCAGTCGATTTTGAGGCATAAAATGGATCGCGAGACATTTTAGGACGCTCAGTTTTATTTGTCTATGATTTCTTGAAGGAGCACCGATTTTTGTTTAATTCCTTGGTTGTTTTTTCTTGCCACAACTTAGAGTGAATGCATTATCATTAAATGTTTCGATACAGAGTTTCAAGGTGTTTCATTTCGTGGCTGTCGAGTTTGAATAATCTATCAACCAAGAACCATATGCCGTTGAACTAGGCTGATTAAATGTGAAAGAAAAGATAGCAGAGTTCATAACAAGGGAGATAAAAAGACTAAATCAAAATCTAATCCAATAATTGAGGGAAATAAGTCATTACACAAAATTTCATGCTCCTAGGACTTGTGACAAGTTCGCGCTTTTCTTTAAAATACTGCAAACTGCGCACATGCAGAGTTTTCTAATCCAACAAAACAAAACATCTTTTTCATTCGGGTAAAAAAGATATTAAGAGAGAGGGGAGCTGTAGTCACTGATTAACTGAAATCGCTAGCATCTAAGCAGGCCATATGTTGAGTCTCTTTTCCTTTTCTTTGAAAAGAAAAATAATGTTTTTGTTTTTTCAGAGATAAAGAAAGAAGTTTCCTCGCCAGTTCGAGAAAGTTGTCCTGAATCCATACCAGTCACGAATTCGTTCACAGGTGAGATTCAAGTTATCATTTCTCCTGAGAAATACGCCATTCTGAGGTTTAAAAAAATTTCAATCTAGCTTTGTAATTGCTAAAGTTAAAAAGAAACATTTTTATGGAAACTGCGAGAGAGATACTCTTAAAGACAGATACATTAAAAATTACATAAAATTTTGTTTCAAAGTTATAAGGTACCCGTTGTCACAAACACATAAATATATGAGGTGTTTCTCGAGGGACATGGCAGGAGAAAACATAACATATTTATAGTGTTAAAATGCAAACAATTTTAATCGTTTCGAAGGGAAAAAATTGCTAGACGAGGGCGGAAATAGGAACATTTTGGAGGTATCATGTGATTATTGTTCTTTCAGAGTTTTAACTTAAAAGAAACCATGTATGAAAAAATTAGCATAGATAAGAAACCTTTGCCAAAGAATGCCGAACTTTATAGTTTGTTTTCCCATAACAACCACGAAAAAAGTGAATAGATACACTTTAATTTCCTCCATGCAACTGTTGTGGCAACATTACATCTAAAAATAACATTAAACTCTGTTCACGAATAACTAATTCTGGCAATTGAAATAAATAATAAATATAGATTCGCAAAAACACGGTTAACCTACAAGAAAGACATTAGAAATTAACTGCTTTTTGGTTGAAAAATTTTCACCGTTTTGTTTAATTGTTTGTCTCTTGTAGAACACTACCATCACCAATTTCTTGGAAATTCTCATAAGGAGATTCACGCTGAATGTACTTGCTCGGCGTTTCGTCCATTCCCTGGCGTTCTGCCTCATCATTTTCAAGGTACAACAATTCACCATTCTGATAATTTTTATTTAATTACCGAAAGATCCTCAAAGAATCACGTTTGTATTCAAATGCTATGCGCACCCAATTTCCCGTGATGAATAAAACAACCGTTTTTTTTTTAGGGATTATTATTTGTAAGAATGACGTTTTCCAGGATGGCTCTGATTAAAAGGAGGCTTCAAGAGACAATCGAACTTTAGACTAGAACTAAAAATTCAAATAACAGGACATTACTAGCGGCGAATATTGGCTTTAAAAGATTTTTGGTTGAAGTTTTTGATGATAACGTTTCGCAATGTGGCCTTGATGAATAATGTTTTGACATAAAAGTTGACAGTTGCAAAAAGATTACGGTTATCCAAAGCTCGATAAGGAATAAATGCTTTCCTTTCCTGTATCTTTGTAGTTTAATTTTGAACAAGCCCTCATTAAAAATTTCTTATCTTTCTTGCGGTATCATATAGTGTTGACCAGCGAGGAAAAACCGCTAAATTTTAAGTGAATAACATTTGAAATTCATGCAGGCAGATGTCGCAAAACGTCGTTTTATGCCTTTCGCGTTCATTTCAAGCCACCCATGTTTTCTCCCGCTGTGCCAACGAACGAAAATTTCTTTTTCACCGTTTAATTAGTGGAGGGAAACAAAAATTTTCTTTTTGAGATCCCGCCCGCAAGCAAATTTGACCTTGTTTGGCATAGCAAACTTATTTTAACTTCAAACTGTATTCATTAGTTTTGGAAACAAGCAATTCGTCTAATTTCCTCTTACGCTATTTTGTACTGTTCCCAGTAACAAATTTGAAAAGACTTCGCTATAACATTAAAAAGCCCGATTCATTTGTATCAACATAACCAAATGAACCAGTATTTTCCTCCTTTGATCATTTTGCACGTTTAAAAGATATCAAAATATCATTTTCCCTGAATAAGGTGCTAAAATAAAACAAAATTCAAAGCTGTTTTATTCTCAGGAAAAATCTTTAAAAAAAATCATTTTATTGTAGGTCAAAACGCGCTCAATTGGAGAAAATGGATAGGCAATTTCTCCAAATCTTAGGGTCATTTTTTTCTCCGACAATCGTTGATTTAGCTTTACCCTTCAACAATGGCCCAATTACAAATTGAAATATTAACGACTTAAAGGATATCATAGAAATTCTATACGTTATGTTTTTTTACTTCTTTCATGACAGAATCGAGAAGACTGGCATGTTTTCATCCAAAAGTAGCATTTTCAATCTATATCGATTAAACATGTCATTTGGCAATGCTTAAAGTTTGATGTCGTAAGGAAGGTATTTCTAAAATCTGCATTTTACTAAGCACTGAATAAGAAACACTTCGTTTGTGCTTTAGAATACCCTTGCGCAAGTTTCAGATAGTTTTGGTAACTTGATCTAAAAAAGCCATTTACTAAAATCTCAAAAAAGCCTTGATGCACACATTTGTGTCTTTAGAAATAAATCTATCGAACTTTTTTGACAAAATGAAATATCGTTCGTTAAAATTTAATACTTTATCGCTTTTGATGGTAACGCCAGAACGTAGTAACTGTCGGTAATAAAAGTTGTATCATTGCATTTTATAACAAAATTTTTAAATCATTGTTTTGTTTTTGGTTACAGGATTAAAAAGAAAACTACCAAATGAAGTCGGCACCGAAGCCACTCTTTTATACAATCAGGCACCTCTTCTCGGAGAAGTCCAGGAAAAGAGGCGGCGATTTTCTACGGAATATGAACCTGCGGACAAATCGACGTTATTACATTTCCCCGGCCAGAGACGCCCGTCCGCTATAGAACTTCTCATACGTATCTTCCCGAAAATAAAAGTCAGCATTTTGCAGCTTGTTCTTCATTCCTGTGGTGGTGATTTAGTTCAGGCCATAGAGGAGGTATTGACACGGTACAAAAGCGAAGCCACAAACGTTTTCATGGGTGTGCCGAATGGTTGGAATAGACCCGTACAAGAACTGCGCGAATTTCATCACCCCGCTCTACGTGCGGATGGTTTTAAATTCGCGCGAGGGCCGGAGAGTTTCTTAGGGAGCCCGAAGTCTGCCTTTACTCCAATTTCAACTCTCCCTAAAGCTCATTTCATAAACACTTCCTCATCAAATGTTCCGTTTGCTCAAGAGGCAGGTAGGAGTAAAGAAAACTTTCCAATGTCATTTCTCTTGGATTCACGGATAAGTTCTTCGCTCACACGCCCCGACCACACGGCAATCAGTTTGCACAAAGCTAAGGACAGTGAGTCAATAAGCGATTCAGCAGAAGTCTTAAAGACGACAAGCGAGGCAAGGGAGGCTGCAAGTGCCAGAACAGAAAAAGAAAATTAATGCGGATCGATCGTTATTCGATCGGAGATACCGTTCTTAAATAAGCCTCAAATAAAGATCTTAGATAGATCTTATGTTGTAACAAAGAAAACGAAAACGGTTAGGTTGAGTTTACGCCTAACATCGAAAATCCTCGAACAGGACGTAGGTCTTCGTTCGTCGTTAAAAAATGTTGTTTAATAGCCCCCAAAGATCGTAAAATTATACTCTTTGTAATGTTATGCCCTCCATTACGAGTTAAAATTATAATTTTGAGTTATAAGATATAATTGATGGAAGAATAAAACTTTAATTTTAAAAGAATTTTGACGTCTTGCATGAGTTAATTTATACGCGCCAAAATAAAAATTGCAGGAAAACTGCATCTGGTGTGCTAAGCGTCGAAAAACTGAAATTGTTGTTGCCACAAAACCACAAAAAATAATAAAAAAACAGTCTTGCTACAAAGATACAGGCGGACTACATGCGTGAAGTTTTTATTCCCTGAATGATCATTATACAGTGAGAAAATTATGTTGTGGATTTTTTTTTTGGTGGTTTCATTAAACGTTCACGACACTTAATATGACATTTTTTCTGATACATTTTGTCAAAGCCGAGGCGTTGACCTTTGCATAGAATTGAAAAATTGGATGAAAATGTTTCGTTTTTACAAGGAATTTTCGCTCGGCATGCATCAAAAGAAATCAATGAAAACATTAGAACGCGATCACGGACAAATAACATTGTAGATAATTAAAAGCGTTTGGTTCCAAAAAAAGGGATGACTGTCTTATTTATTGAAGCTAGCGCGCTTTTATACCATCCGTTTTACTAAATAGCTCCGTGAAAGTATATCTCTTGCAGAGGGTATTAGAGAAATTAATACCAGTCAAAATAAAATCTGCACGTAAAATGCAAAGAAGTTTAGCACCGAAAGGTTAGAATGTTAGTCGTTTCTACTTTGAATATTGAAACAAACACAAAAAAAACTCAGTTTGTTGAATAATATGGAGTATTTTTTTTGATTCCCGCTGTTTTGCTGGCGTGAAATCTCAAAATAACGCGAAATTATTGACGAAAAAAGAATGCCGTTAACAAAAGCCCTCCTAGACTCTCTGACAATTTTAGGAGATACTCTGAAAGTTCACCTTGAAGACAAAAATTTTTGCCTTCGTACAAAAGAATTGAATTTTGACTGTAGTTAAATATTCAAAGTCTGTCATTTTTAAGACTTCAATGGCTTATGTTTGCATAGACTTTAAATTACACCAATATTAATTTGTGTCATGGAATAAATAGTTTCTCTGTAGACTATTATTCATCCTTGCATAACAACACGAATTAATGACAAAAACCTGCGGCAATGAAAATACAGTTTTGACAGAAAAGATCGGGAAAATTGACTCATGATCACATTAAATGTATATTTTCCGAGTTGTGGTCTTAATTTCACCGAAGCGTTAACAATGGCACTATTTGAATGTGATATTACCGTGTTTCGAGCGAAATCTTTTATATATTAATAATTCCCCGTGCATTGTTTTGACCAAACAGGGCCGACAAAGAAATACAAACTCGGCGAACAAAATGAAAGCAAAACATTATAGAAGAAAAAACACGGTACCTGTTCTAGCCCGGAAATTATACGCACAACATCAATATTATAAACAATGCAAATGGCCTAGTAATTTAAAAAAATTCTTGAGCAGGTGTCCTTGTCGGAGATAGAGCTGAAATCCGGCGGGTTTTAAATCAAGTTATTTTCACCTGGTCCACTCATTTTTGTCTTTAGTTGGTTTATTTACAAACTTAATGGTCCTCAAATGGCTTATTTCTTTCGCATTAAGGATATCGAACGTCGTGGTAATGACTCAAGCCTGTAGAAAGGCTCAGAGATCGGTACTTTGATGTGGAAATTCGAACCGAAACACGTATGAAAGTCTAATCATAATTTAGGGGATATTCGCAAGTGGGTGACTTTTGCAAAGAAAAAAACAACCTCTGCTTTTTCCTTCTCCAAAGCCTATTTTTGTTTTGTTAATCTGGTGCTTAATAATTTCGCATTTGCGTAGAGGTAAACCGGATAAATTTTACTAGCAAACTCCAAAATAGTTACGCCCAAAATAAAAAGGGAAAAAATCTAGCCTACGAAAGAACTCCAAAATTATCGTTTAAGAGGAAAATACTTAGTTTAATATCCTGTGTCATAAAGGTGTCGTAAAAATGATATAAAAATTGTGAAAATCACACGAAATTATCCGTGAAAGTCAGTTAGAAATTGCGCACAATTTTGTGAGTTCCTTGAAAAATACTAAATTGAGATTAAGACTTTTAAACATGTAGAAATGCCAGATTCGATTGTGTTAATATATCTTCCGCGCTAGAAACAAATACGAAATAAATTCATAATGTGCCACACTATCGATTGTATTTTCGAACACATATTTAAAATTTGCGTTGGCGAATTTGTTGATTAACCCGGTTAAAAAACTGTTACTCGTCGAGACAAGACAGGACTAATATCAAATTTTAATCTCAAGCTTCGTTTTTGTAATAAATATATATATATTTTTTGATCATAAATGTAGCGAATGATTGATGAATGTTGCTTTTGCTAATTTCTGGAACATTTTGCCAGACAATTACCCATATAAGGACGCGCTTGATGGGGAAAGTAAAACGGAAAACGTTTTTTCCTAGCGAGCTAAAAAGAAAAAAAGTATTCATAGTAGCCTTTGGATAGCATCAACCAAGCATCTTTTTTTCAGAAACGCGAACTTTAATGGTAGATTTTGTGGGAAATAGCACATTGAAAAAAATAAATAAATAAATAAAACGCACGAACTTAAGGAAAAAAGCAAATCTCACAAGCTGATAGGTAACCTTGCTTTTGCTTTGTTTCTGATGCTGGGCGTATCAAGGTCACATCTGGATGGAATCTCTTAGAACACTAATTACAAGTGAATTTCGCCAGTCGAAGGGCTTAAGGCGGGGTGTTAGAAAGATATGATTCACTCCCAAAAAATCCAAAACAAGATAATCTATAACGTATTGTTTCGCCTAGCATAATTGAAAAGTCAGCAAGGTGTAGATAAGCAAAAAATTGTCAAGATAGGCTGATATTACATTATGGACAGCTTTTTGTGTCAACTTTCTGTCGGGCTTGAGTGGTTTATGGCATCCACAAAAAGCATTTTATAAGGCGTCTATCTTCCATAAGAACAATGCGCCATTCGGACAAATAAACAATCGCGCAAATTATGTCAATTTTTTTCCGGTACTATTGAATGATGCTCGGTGCCTTTATTTTCCGTTTTAAGAACGCCGACCCATTAAATCCTCGAGCGGAAAGTTAAAGCAATACAATAGACTTAATAACCAGGAACGTGTTTTCAGATCTTCAAAGGAAGTTTACTAATGTTTAAGTAAGAAAAATCATATACCTAACTAAATACAATACCCCTTTAGCACGCATTTTCTTCGTCTAAAATTCGATTGTATTTCACTAGAATCAGCAAGATGGAAATTATTATTATTTTTTATTTCTTGAGTTAAGTTGTAGTTTCTTATTTCCCGAGAAAGCGATTCTCATTCTGACTAAAACCTGCCGTTCAACTCGCTCACTAAATAGGTAGGACTTTGGTAACTTGCGTTCCTCAAAATTAATTTAGTTTAAATAAACTTTGAACAGAAAATATAAAAAAATGACTGATAGTTTTTACCAAAAATGTCATTTTGAAATTCATCATTTCTCATTTGTACAACCGAAGCGTTTTTGCTACACTTTTATTTAAGAAACGCGAATCAATTACTTGTGTATAAAACGGGAACTGACACATTCAATATTCAAACGGGAGCTTATCCAACACAGTCGACATGTCCTTTACATTTTCCGCAGTTAAATTTGAACATTGACGTTTATTTAACATGGAGCTGTGAAAATTAAGGAAGAGCCAGCCCACAGGCTTTTTACATCTTAAAAATGCAATTTCCTCTGCGACTATTATGTGAAAACAATTAATTTGTTATTAAAGAGTAAGCGAAATGGCAGCTAGGCTGCTCATAGTTTTTAATTTTAATAACTGCCTCTGATTCTCTGACATCAAGTTGAAGGTGTATTTTTATAGATTGAAATTTTAATTAGGACAAGCGAAACAATCTTGGCAAGTTACTGTATGACGATTCTTGTATAGAGCTTTAATCGGCTATGACTGTCCAATGTACGGGGTTATATGCTTGTGATTGATGCTGCAAAACAACGCATTTGTTGAGCCTGGTGCTGAAGTTGAAACAATTAAAGGCAATCTTTTGCGAGTGGTTAACCGTCCTAAGGTGGTAAAGAATTGTGTCAAAATGTATTATGGGACTGTTTTGGAGGAGCAAACGCGAGATTGCGCCGGAAACTGGAAAAAAAGTCTTTCCCGAAACCTTTTCACTGGGCAGTTCGACACAAAACAAACACAGTTTCTCAAGCAGCCTCGTAAATGGCCATGCTACTGACAAGGATTCACTCACACATGACTAAAAACCTCAGACAATCAGTGGCCGTATCAGCGATTGCGCTCACGTAACGCTTTTTTTGTCACTTTTAACAAAGTTAGTGAAAAAACGGTAGAATTTACTATTAAGCGGTTAAAATATGTCATTTGTAAAATAATTATAATAATATACATGAAAAACAAAAAAGAAAGAAAAGAGAGAAAAAACTTGCATCATTCTCCACTTCAGGAGAAAAATGAACCTCGTTCTCAGGGATTTTTTTCTGAGGGAAAAGCCCTGGCGACGAGGTCGCAGAAAAACACTAGGGAGAATGGGTACAACTGTGGACACAGTGACTTCAGGAGTTGTTTGGGTGGATAATCGTTAGTTATGATCAGTCAATGATATTAAAGGCAACCATTCAGTAACGTTAATAAGTAACGCTTGTCAGTCCAAACGATCCCAGAGATCGTTGCGCAGAAAGTTTGTGGGAATTCCCCTTAAAGTTGGAATTGTGCAATCAACAGCCTTATTGTCAC